CCTTAATTTTTAAAAACCCACTTGTACGTGCTTTTATTAGTTTTTTAGACTGCTGTAACAAAATACCACAGACCAGCTGGCTTAAGCAACAGAAATGTATTTTCTCACTGTTCTGGAGGACAGAAGTCCAAGATCGATGTGTCAGCTGTTTTTTTCTCGTTGTTGCCCTGAGGCTCTCTCCTTGGGTTGCAGGTGGCCATTTTCCTCTCTGACTCCATTTTAACTTAATTACCTCCTTAAAGGCCGGATCTCAACATACACACTCTGAGGTACTGGGGATTAGGACTTCATAAATTTGGCTTAAGACACAATTCAGCCCCTAACACACGCAAAGTTCTTAAGAAGAAAAGCAGTGGGCTGTTCCTACTGTCCCTCTCCTGCCTCATTCCCCAATTTCCAGAAGAAACCAATTTGCACTGTTTTGATTATTTGGATATTTATCTTCACATCTCTAATATGAATAAATGCCTCTTCTTCTTGGTTGTTCAGGTTAGATTTTCATCCCTTGGTTTTTCACTAAGAAATATTGTCACCTCCCTTCCCTGCCACTACCCTAATGTACATTTCCTCTCCCATTCTTCTTAAATAATTAATCATAATTTTGATTAAATCAGTTATTGATATTTATATTACTGAACTTTGTTTTTCTGGAAGCCAATAACTATCTTTTTAATTTTTCTTAGTTTCCTTTTTCCCCTTAATATTATTCAATGTTTGCAATACATTAAAGACTGGTGATATAGGAAACTTTTTAAAAAAACAACACAAATACTGTGTTTGTGAAGGGTTTTCCTCTATGAAGCACAATACCATTCCTTAACTTTTCCATCCCCCTCTCCCCCCCCCCCCCCATACAGAATTGCTGGGATAATTACATGGATCTCCTTCACAGTCAGTACTTAGCACCCCTGACACGACATTTTTGAGTGGCAAGAGTTATTATCCTTGCCTTCTATAATCAGTTAAAAAAGTTACTTGGTAAGAATTTAGATTTAAGAAATAGTTTAAAGAAATAGACTAGTTTAAAGAAAAAGAATTTCTTAAAAACTTGAGCCTACTACAAGTTATTGTTTTCGAGCGAAGCAACGGGCACAAACTTAATATGGTCTCTTTTCCTTTTCGGGGTTCCCCCCCCCCCCAATTCATAGCTCAAAGAAAAGATGGAGTAATTGTGTTTTAAAATGCTGCCAGGTTTTCTATGGTAACTATTTTAGATGAACAATGTAGGGTCCTACTGAAGTATTCAAATCTCATGCAAAACTCTAACTAATGAATGCCTCAGTACATTAGGGCCCAGTGGTTCTCAACCTTCCTTTAATACAGTTCCTCATGTTGTGGTGACCCCCAACCATAAGGTGACCCCCAACCATAAAATTATTTTCGTTGCTACTTCATAACTGTAATTTTGCTACTGTTATGAGTCATAATGTAAATACCTGATATGCAGGATGTATTTTCATTGTTCGCGACCCACAGGTTGAGAACCACTGCTAGGTAATTCTGTCATTTTCTGTACTTAAAGATTTTCACATTAAAGTGGCAGTGGCTACTCTTCATTACTTTAGCATCTGACCTCAGGGACTTAGACATAAAATCTCCATTCAAGTCTGAGTTTTTGCAACATAGTAGTGCCAGGTATTTCTGAATAAGCAATTTTAAGTGTTTTTAGCAATTTGAAATGTATTACCAACACACCATTTGGTGTTAGCTCAACAGCCACTCTGTGTTGAGAATTAAAGGACCCTAAACTCTATAAATGTCTTACCGCAGAGTCTAATTTTAATGGAAGGATCTACTATATGTCTAATAGAAAAAAAATTACACAGCAACTTTTATCAAACAGCAACTACTACATACAAAAGGAATGAGAGAGCCTTGGCCAGGTAGCTCATTGGTTAGAGCATCATCCATTTTGCCAAGGTTGGGTGTTCCGTACCTCAGTTGGGCATATACAAAAACCAGCCGATAAATGCATAAATGAGTGGAACAACAAATTGAAGTGTTTCTCTCTCTTTCAAATCAATAAACAAAAGGAATGTTTAAAAATGACTTCATTAAAAAACATTTAAAATTTTGACAATTTTACACTGGCACCACCAAAGTTTTAGTGTTTAATATTTAATAGCACAACTGCCCAACATCCAGGGTGTGAAGTTACCATGCTCAAAAAACTGGGGGGCGCGGGGGGGAATCACTCTATAAACGAACTATACAGTAAGTGATAAGAAGAATGCGCACTTTATAAAATAAAATATGTCTGTACATAGTAGTTAGTTGCAAAAGCCATCTGATCTTCTTTTGGCTTGTAAAAACAATGTTCCAGATTTCAGTGTAAATGAACAACCTTCAACTCTTCTGTGTAGCAGGTATCTTGTTTTCACTTTCCAGTTGTTCCACCCAACCTGGGTCATGAGATCTGCAATGTTTTCCTCTAGATCAGCGGTTCTCAACCTGTGGGTCGCGACCCTTTAGGGGCCGAACGACCCTTTCACAGGGGTCGCCTAAGACCATCAGAAAACACATTTATAATTACATATTGTTTTTGTGATTAATCACTATGCTTTATGTTCAATTTATAACAATGAAAATACATACCTGCATATCAGATATTTACATTACGATTCATAACAGTAGCAAAATTACAGTTATGAAGTAGCAACGAAAATAATTTTATGGTTGGGGGTCACCACAACATGAGGAACTGTATTAAAGGGTCGCGGCATTAGGAAGGTTGAGAACCACTGCCCTAACACATCTCCTATCTCCTGTCCATTCTTCATCCAATCTATTAAAAAAGAAGTTAGGTCAGGGCATTCCCTTGATTAAAGTCCTCCACTGATTTGTCGCTGCAACTAGAAAAAATCCAAAGCCCCTTATCATGGCCTACCCAGCCACACATGACCTTGGCTTTGCAGTCTGGTCTCCTGCTCCCACTCCCCCTCCATTCAGGGCTCCAGTTGAAACACTGAGCTGGCTCCTGTCCCCGGTTCCCTGCACTTGCTTTTCTTTGGGCCTGTGCTTCTCGTCCCAAGGTCTTCACCAAGCTTCCTTCTTCTCATGCATCAGCTTTCAGCTCAGCTGTCACCTCTGACACTGTGCAGCTGTAAAAAAGAAGGATCTCTTACCCTTTGAGACAGCATGGAGAGACCTGGAGAGTATTATGCTAAGCAAAATAAGCCAGCCAGAGAAAGACAAGCATCACATGATCTCACTTATATGTGGAATCTAATGAACAAAATAAACTGTTGAGCAAAATAAATCCAGAGACATAGAAGCATGGAGCAGACTATGGAATCTCAGAGGGAAAGCAGGAAGGGCTGGGGAGGGGGGTAGGGGGGTTGGGGGGGGTAGAAGGGTGAGAAGGTGGGGTGGTGAGAAGGAAGAGATCAACTAAAGAACTTGTATGCATATATGCATAATGCGTGGACACAGACAACAATGTGGTGAAGGCCTGGGAAGGTCTAGAAGGGGGTAATTGCTGAGGGGGGGGGGGAGAGATCTATATATATAAAAGGCTAATATGCAAAGTGTCCCCTTGGGAGTTCGACCGGGAGACCGGGAGTTCGATCACTCGCTATGACGTGCGCT